AGGCCTCTGCAGCTCCCGGCTCATCGCCCTGCTTCCAACGGGTTCTGTGCAGCCTGATCCCCAAGTCCCCGCACTCCACCTGCAGCACGCCTGGTGCCCCCAGCCCCTCCACCGTCTCCTGTGGCCACAGGACCTCCCTCCCAGCCCCAGACTGGGTTGCCCGCCACCCCTTCTGCAGGCTCATGACCTCCCAGCAGCGTTCCAGGGAAGGAAAAGCTCCCTGGCCCCTGCCAGGGGATCAGATGCTGGGACTTTGATACTGGGACAGTGGCCTGATCCCAGATGCTGGGATCAGATGCTGAGACTTTAGAGGCTGTAGTGCCCTGGCTGCCCTGTAAGCCCCTTCAGGTCTAGAGCAAAATTTTTCACCCTCTGCTTGTCAGAACCTGGGCCTGTGCCTGCTCAGGTCTCAGTGAGCCCAGATACCTGTGCAACTCCTAATCGTACCCTCCTTACCCTGCCCTCCTCACTGAGAGGGAAGGCTATCTGTCCCCACTGTCCCCTCCCCACTGTCCCCTCCTCACTGTTCTCTCCCCACAGTCCCCTCTCCACTGTTCCCTCCCCATGGTCCCGTCCCCACTGTCCCCTCCTTGCCGTTCCCTCCTCACTGTCCCCTCCCTACCGTCCCCTCCTCACTGTCCCCTCCCCACTCTCCCCTCCCCACAGTCCCCACTCACATACCTGGTCTCCCACCCAGTCCCTCTGGCAGTCCTGCCTGACACTCACCTCTCCAGAGTCTCGGTGCCGATGGTGTCGGCCTGCGTGGAGATCTTGGCCCACATGGACACAATGAGGGTCCTCTCAGTCTTGGTCAGAGACATGGCGGCAGGGTGGGCGGCTGCACTGGAGTTGGGCCTGCTCAGGACTGGCCTTGGTAGTGCTCAGCCCCCAGGGTCTCCTTATATCCAGGGAGCTGGGCCCAGCCAGCCTGTGGCCATTGGTCAGGTGAGGGGAGGGGGCTGTCGGGGTGGGGTTTCTTATCAGATTCAGTGACAAAGGGGCCCTCAGGGCCTGGTGCAACTGGGGACTGGGGAAGCTATCACTTCTGTCTCCCCTTCTGCCCACCCCTGAGCCACAGCTGGAGCCCCAGGTTCTGGGAAATTGGGGTCCCGATCTGGGCATGCGAGTCCACGTGGTCAGTTCAGCCCAGACTGGCCTCAGGAGTGACTGTCCTTGACCTCCCTGTCCCTGTGATCGCAGGGTGACCTGGAGCACATGGGCCCTGGCAGAGGCACAAGCTATTCCTCACTTCACTGAAACTTCTCTGGCCCACCTTATGAGTTCCAGTTTGCAAATGGGGAAACCGAGACTCCCTAGAGAGAAAGTGGGACCCAGTGTCACAGAGCGGGAAGGGACAGACCTCTCCAACCTCTGCTGTGCAGCCCCCTCACCTGAATGAGGCTTGGTGTGGGGTTCTCCCCCAGTAGCCTTGTGGGGGACACTCTGAGCCGGGCATCTAGGCAGGAAAGTGGCTTGGGAGGCCGGGCTCTTCACAGAAGGTGAGGTCATACGGGCCTAGAGTTCTGCTCACTACGTTCTCACTGCAGCCTGGAGGAGACCCTCCTCCAGCTCTATTGATTTATTTCTTTTTATCCTCTCTGTTTATTAACTACTCCCTCCTCCATTAGACGGCCATTTCGACGTGCTGAATATATTCCTTTTAGTTAGTACGTGTGCTTGCAAAAGGTGTGATTTTATGCATGTATTTTAAATTTATATAAATTATAGGTAGATATAAAAAATTCTTTTGTTTGTTTTTGAGACAGAGTCTCACTCTGTCTTCCAGACTTGAGTGCATTGGCACAATTTTTACTCACTGCAACCTCTGCCTCCTGGGTTCAAGTGATTCTCCTGCTTCTGTCTCCAGAGTATCTGGGATTACAGGCATGCACCACCACGCCCGGCTAATTTTTGTATTTTTAGTAGAGATAGAGTTTCACCATGTTGGCCAGGCTGGTCTCGAATTCTTGACCTCAGGTGGTCTGCCTGTCTTGGCCTCCGAAAGTGCTGGGATTATAAGCATGAACCACCACGCCCGACCCAAGCACATCTTTTTTAAATAGAGGATTTTTTAAAACAGGGGGAAAAAGGCTGGGCGTGGTGGCTTGCCATGGGGCTGCACGTGGTGGCTCCTGGTTGCGATGAGGTTGCACCACTGCACTCCAGGCTGGGTGACAGAGTGAGGTTCTGCCTCAAAAAAAAGAAAAAAAAAAAAAAAGCAATAGAAAGAGAGAACATACGTCTTCACGCACTGATTCTTTTCACTTGCTGCGTCAGCAAGCGTGCCCCCATCCCCGCTGACGGGTGCGATGCAGCTCCCATGCGAATCAGGGGGTTACATCTTCAGCCGGCAGGGCTCCCCTTTGTGAACAAGCTCTAGTTTTTTTTCTATTATAAACAACTCCATGAAGAATATCAGTGCTTTGGATCTTTTCCTCATGATAGACCTCTAGAAGGGGAATTACTAGAAGGAGACTCAAGAGTAT